CCCCCCCCACCACCCCCACATTGTTGTTGTCGCTTCCCCAACCCAGTCGAGGTTATAGCCATCCTCCCAGCACCACATCCTTGTTGTCCAGTTGCCCACATTCCAATTTGTGCTTCTTGCCATCCCATCCTTCTTGCTATTGCTTTCCCTTGCCCATTCCAGGTTGTTTCTGCCCTCCCGACACCGCATCCTCGCAGTCGAAATGTCATCATTCCAGTTCCTACTCGTCACCACAACCTTCATAGCCTTTGGCTTGTTTTATAGCCACCAAACCACTTTTCCCTCCCTGTCTTAACCCTTTCAACCGCCTACCGCTCTCTGTTTCAACTACCTCGACACACAACCCACCACCATTGTTCCTCGCCTTAGGGTGTCTTTTGTGTTGGTGATGTTGTTTTCTTTTTGTCATGAATCTTTGTTTGTAGCCCCTTCAGATATTCAACAAAGATATTTTTATTCCGTTGGGTTTTGGGTTAACTCCGGTGTCACCGGGGTTGAGGGACGAAGATTAAGGTACAGTAGTTTAAAGAGAAGTAGGACTAAAATGAAATTGACATGGCTAAATGGAGGGCGAAAACAACTGGGAGGTCGCCGAAAAGACGGCAGCAAGTAGCGGGCGTGATTGGACTGGTCAGCAACGATCGGGAGGCCGTTTGGAAGGCTAGCAGCGAGGTGGAGTGGCTAGAAAAGGGGCGGCTGGATTGGTCGGCAGCGAATTGGAGGGAATTTGGAAGGTTGACAACAAGGTGTAGGGGTTGAGAGAGCTGGTCAACTTTAGGGAAATAGTTGGGAGGTGGTTTCCGAGGGACTGCATTAACCATGAAAACAACAGCAGTGGAGGAGAGGTTGTATGAAGCAGAGAGCGATGGATACACGGCACTTCGAGAAGAGTTATAGCCGGAGAACCTTCTCACCTTCAGAGAACAATATGGAGAAAACTAAATGTTGACGACTGTCCTGATAGAAATCTGAAAGCAAAATTGTCCTAAAACACAACAAATAGCATATATATATATATATAGATCTAGGGTAAAGAGGAGTGGTCCCTGCTCGAAATACGAGAGAAAACCATGCTTGGAAGGACCGGTCAATCCTTCCCTTGCTTGGATCGAATCAATCATGAGCAGGTAAGAGGCATTTGCCGCTTCTCTGGGCAAACGATGCTTTGCGTAAGTCACTATTTCACAAACCTCTCCCTGCAAAATCTGCCTTCCAATTAGCTTCTAGAAGCCCTAGAACAGATGATTATTATGGAAAAAAATAATCTTATTTCTTGATACTTGTAAGTTAGATTAGCATAATTCTTATTAGGATTGAACAATGAGCATCTCTTTAAATTTTTTAGTATGACATTACCATTTATTATTATGCCAAATATGCTTTAGGATATGCCACTTTATAGTGATTGCAGATAATTTACTAAACTAATCTACTCTATCTTAATTTCACAAATCCAATTCATGATTAATATATCAAATTGCTTGATTGTGTGAATATTTGAATTTTACTTTAGAATTATATGCCATTCTGAGATTTTAAGCTTGCCAAAAAATTCTTTGAATGTTATTTCACGAAAAGGGAAAGATAGAGTTGAATTTGAACGAGAATTAGGTATGAATATGATAAAAGTTTGACATTATGCAATTGAATTTTGATATTTCTATGGTAGAATGAATGTTACCATGCTTTCGCTCAATTAATTTGTGTTAGTTATAAGATCCCTGCAAGACATAAATTAAATTGTGAGTAACGTTGGGTTGTTCAACTGGTTGAATCTATCACTCAATTGTGATGGGTAAACTTTCGGATTAGGTGTTAGTGACAGATTCAGTCAACTTGATCATTCCTCTCTCTTTTGACTTTTATTAAATCTCGAGAGTGGTTGTCATGAGCCATAACAAAATAAAATGTTGTTTGCAATTCAAACAAAGCAAACAAACGAGTTTTCAATTAATCATTAAGAGAAAACAATGGTTTACTACATGAACAAAAATATTTCATGCAAAATATGAACGCTTACATAACATGTCTTCATACAACTTAATAGAGCTAGCACTACTATTAGAGAGCCTCATTCTGATCAAACAACAAATATTAAGCTTAACATACTTAATAATAATGCAAACAATAAAGCATATGTTCGAAACTACTTTCTTGAAGGCATACTCATAGAGTCACATAATAAAGTTAACTTGCTAATTTGGCATTTGACAGAAGGAACCAAAAACCAAAAAGATATTGCTAAAATAATTATGAAATTAGTAACTGGGACAAAAACAAAAATTTGTTCATAAAAAGGTTCAACCTTGTGGTACTGAATTACTCCATATATTGCATCTGGCTCATTAATTTGAGTGAACGCAGCAACTAGCAGCTCAATATGAGTGGGCAACTAAAAAGTTTAAATGGTAAAATTTGAATTAGTAGACAATATAAAACTTCAAACATAGCTATGATAAATGTAAGCACAATGCCATTTTCATCCAATCATCGATTAGCATGTTAATTGGACATCCAAAGAGTCAGGAAAAAATCATATATTGTTAGATATTTTTAGAATGCCCTCCATAATTGTTAGCAACTACTTTAATTAAGAGAGCTTTGATAATTATTATTTCTATTTTATAATCAAGTTTATAACATTTATGCATAGCATTTTAACCCATTTGTGCGAATTAATAGTTTCCAATCTACAGTTGCTAGCACAAAGTTCTGACCGTTTAACCACAATTACTTACGCTATTAGCAGGAGACGAAATAATTTTGAAACATGGTTAGACATTTATAAAACCTTTCATAATTGTGATCATTTAAAAAATAAAAATAGAATATCAGAATTTCTAGATTATCTTCCAAAATCGTTAGAAACTACACCTTCTATTAGATGTACCTTGATGATTATAATAGACATAGCCGCCTTTAAGCAAAGCATCACAACCCTCTTAACCCAAACATACAAATTCATAATATCCAATTTAAAGATACTTTACACAGCACAAACAAATGACAAGTTAACCACATTTATTGTACACTATAAAAGACGACAGGAGGATAAAAAAAGTATACTTATCATTCCTGAAAAACCAAATAATCTAAAAGAAAAAGGAAAAAAAAAGCTCACCTCTTCCATATGGGAAAAATCAGGAGAACCCAGGTTTAGGCCATCAAAATGCTCTTCACACCAATGCTCTACATACATTATTGCAGTGAAGTATGATCCACAATGCTTACAAATAAGAGGGGAAAACAATAATAAGAAACAATAACTGAGGATGGAAAACAAAATAAGACAAAAAAATACAATCCATTAAGGAATAAACGCCTTCGACACCATAAACAATGCAAATATTGCAAAAGATCAAATGTATACTAAGCTAAAAATGGACCAAGCTAATGCACTGATGAAGCGTCACAGGCATCACGATAATTTAACAGAAGGTTACATGGATAATTGGGTACATGAATAAGATTTCCTGAATACCATTGTTGCCATGGGCTTTGGATTGATTCATGAAAAGACTTGGCAGCAAAGGAGGGCCTTCTTCCCAAGGCCATTATGTATTTAAAAATTAACGTAAAACAACGTTAGATAAAGGATGAAGAAGACTAAGAATACTAAGAGGGTATATCGTAGAGAGAAATGCTGGAGAATAGAGACACTGGTAGCTAAATTAAAAAGATAAGAGAGAAGAATACTAAATCCTTCCAAAAACAAAATCGAACACATAAGCAACTAATATGAAATACAAAACAACTACACTACAAAAAGAAAGCTAGCTAAATAAAATAGGGACATACCCTGGCGATCAATGAAAGAAATGAAAAATCATCATAGTCAATTAACAATAAAATCAAAAATAAATTAACTTCTTAAAGAGCATAATATCAGAGTTAACCCAGACAGTAAAAAGAAAAGAAAATATTATTACTCAAAATAATTAGACGGTTACAACTAGCACATTTGATGATAAAAATACAACAAGACACCCGGAAATCCAAAATAGAAACAGACACGATACAAACACTTAACTAGGTAAATCTCTAGTGGTGGTGGTTGTCGATAAAGGCTTGGAAAGATGGTGGGAAGGGGGTGGGTTGATTGGAAAACAAAGAAACAGTGGCTGGGGTGTGGTTAAGGGAGGCGGGAACATAGGCTAGGCTGCGAGGAGGGGGGTCTGGGGGCTGGGACAGCGGCGTGGCGGTAGAGGGTATGGTCATAGGCGGCTGGAATAGCAATGGCAGTACAAGGAAAGTGTTGGAACAACAGTGAGGCTGCTGGAAGGCATTCCAGATGGCTGGAATAGCATCGGAAAGATAGGCGAGGGGCTTAGGGTGGTGCGGTGGCGAGACAGAAGGCTGGGAGAAGGTGAAGGAAAGTTTATGGGTGGTTGGGACAGCAGCAGGTGTGCCAGAGAAATGATCTTGGGCAGTTAGCGGTGAGTAGGCAGATGTTGGAAGAGCAAAAACTGAAGCAAGATAGCCGGAAGGTGGCTCTCGAGCCTGCTGCAGCGAGGAAGAATGCGAGGTAGCGAAGCAGGAGGGATGTGAAGGAGTTGGAGAAGGATAAAAACCACCTCGACACCGAGACAAAACTAGAGAGCTCCTAGAGGAGTAACCACACTGAAATGAGATACGGTCGGAGAACTACTTGACTTCGAATACAACCCTAAAAGAGAATTTGGATGCCGACATAAGTCCTGACAGAAAACAGAAAGAAAAAACTGCCCTAAAACACGATAAACAACATATTTACAGACTTAGAGTAAATAGGAGTGAACCCCACTACAAATAAAAGGGAAATCCACGCGAAGAAAGGGTTGACGAGCCCTTCTAGACTGGTCTAAGCCGCGACTTCCGCTACAATTCGGGGTACTGTCGCAAGGCTCATAGAAACGTGCGGGGAGCTCCCCATACCGCATGAGAGCATCTAAGGAATGCATATAAAAAATGAGGACTATCAAGCTAAAGGTTTGCAAGTTTAGGGTAGCTTGGTTTCTACTAGAATGAAGTATTTAACATCTTCATAAAATTGCACTTCATATAATATAAATGCTACAGATAGCCCTGAAACCTAATTTTTTTTATATCCTTCAAATATTTCATATATCAATGTAGACGGAATCATGCAACATTTGCAGTCATGGTCAACCGAAGAAAGTTCTAAACAAAGAGTCAGTGTTGACCATCTGAAATTTGATTTATGTGTAAATTTTTGCTAATCTAAGAGGGCGTAAACAAGATTTCGCAGTCTTCTACCCTTTTCGTTAAACTTGTGCGCCATCGTCTTATCTCGCCCAAGTTAATGAACATCAAGAGATAACAATCTTAATAATGCTCACAAACTCAATATATTAGCTAAACAGCCTTGTTCAAAAAAAGAATCAAGTTATCATAACACCATTGATTTTTATTGTGATAAACAATGGACGATTATACTTTGATGTTTTGAGTATGAGATCTTTAGATAATGCAATAAATAAAGTCTCTACGACATGCAAACCTATAATCATATATGTTTCAACAAAATATATGATTTTGAAGTTGAACCAAACAATGATAGATACAAATATGATCATGCAAATTCAAATAGGGAAGGTACAACAATAAAATTAAAATGAAAAATTACAACACGTCACACAAAAATTTGAAATTGCAACAAATGACAACTAAAATTAGGGTGGATCGCATGTGTAGTGGTAGATATTAGGGATCCCAAATGGTAGCGGTAAGTTGGGGGCGCGGCGCAAGTAGGTGAATATGACAACAAAACATCAAGCCCTTTCTATCTTGGAAGAGAGCAAGATGGAATTCGACCTGGAGGCAAGAATAACGAATATTTGGCAGGGCGCTGATTTTGGAGGGTTGGGACAGATGTTACGTAGCAGGGACGTGGTCTGAGATAACTAGAACTGTAGCTGATGGGAGGGGGTGGGGGCAATTTATGGTGGCTGAAATAGTGATGTCAGCAAGCGAGAGTGCCAGACTCGCAGGGATAACGATGAGTGAAGCTATAAAAGTGATGGAAGTGGCAGATAAGTGTGGGGTTGTAGGAGACAACAAAGGTGTCGTTCGCATTCGGGGGGTTGTGCAATAGATGAAGAGACAAAAGCAGTGATGAGGAGGATGGGGAGGTCGAGGACAGTCGCCACATTACAGCAAGATATAGCTGGAGCTCCAATCGTCCTCGGATACAACCCTAGAATGGAATATAGGGGACACTGACAACTGTCCTGATAGTAAAATCACGAAAAATATCTTTATAGAGTTAAGGTAAATAGAAGTGGATCTCACTCCAAATAGGAGGAAAATCCACATAAAAGAAGTGATGAGCGGTCATCTTGGACAAGTCTAAGCCACAGCCCCGTCGTCCAGAGGCGTGAAAGAAGACTCACGTGTAGTCTCGCATCATGGGTGGGACGCCCGCATCATCCAGGATCAAGATATGGCACTTCCGGATCATCTCGCACCACAGGTGGATGCCCACAATGACGAGACGAAAGCGGCGATGAAGAGGATGGGGAGGTCAAGGATAGTCACCACATTGCAGCAAGATATAGCTGGAGCATCACTCGACCTCGGATACAAGCCTAGAATGGAACATAGGGGACACTGACGGCTATCCTGATAGTAAAATCACGAAAAAAATAATATTATAGAGTTAGGGTAAATAGAAGTGGATCCCACTGCAAATAGAAGGAAAATTCAAATAAAGGAAGTGTTGAGCGGTCCTCTTGGACCAGTCTAAGCCACAACCCCGTCGTCCAGAGGCGTGAAACAAGACCCACGTGTAGTCTTGCATCATGGGTGGGATGTCCGCGTCATCCAAGATCATGAGATGGCACTTTCGGATCATCCCGCACCATAGGTGGATGCCCACATCCATATACTTTATATTTGATTAGACCTTTAAAAATATGAATTAAGGTTTCTCGATGGTCATTTAGCATCCAAAGGCTGAAAACTTTCTCAAATTAGACTAGATATTAGAATTCCCGCCCTTGCTTAGTGTAGAATCTTTTTTAGAATCCTTAGAGATAAAATCTTCAATGATCACTACATATTTACCACTCTCTTTGTTAGATGATACCTTTGATAGAGGCCATAAATGCTATTCTACAACGTCATAATTATGCTTGAACGACTTCATGTAATTAATATACTTCTTATAGTAATTCCCACGTATTCAATATTCATCCTTTTGTAGGATTCGGCAGAAGGTCCTAAAACACTGCCCAACTTCATGAACTCTAATTGTGGTACCATCGAGTGCTCAAATGTGCTTTTGTTAGAAAAACAAAAAATCCCCCTCTACACTTATGCTTGACTATGATCGAAAGAGGAAGTTTTATCCTTGAAAAATAGGGAGGAAAAGGAAGTTGGGGTGATGATGATATGTTTAAAAAGATGAAGATGTCGATCTTCGAAAATGAAGACGTGTTTGGGTGGGTGCACTGGGTGGAGCGCCAATTTGCGGTGAATGCTCTAGATGAGGGGGAGAAACCCATGACAGCGGGGTTGGATGGAAAAGCGCTAACCTAGTTTCAGTGGAAAGAGATTAGATACCTAATCCGTTCATTGTAGCAATTAAAGAATTGTTTCTTGAAAGTTGAAACATTTCCGAGCCATTTGGTAAGAAGACCTACACGAGCATTTCTATACCTTGACTCAATAGGGGACTATCATGTAATATATGGAGAGATTCGAGCTCTTATCGAGATGATTGAGGGGATTTCTGAAGCAAAATTGGAGGGGAATTGAATGAAGGGACTAAAGCCCGACAAACAAGAACTTCGACTATTGAGATTGTGGGGAGTGAGGGAGATGATGGAGCTAGCCAACATGATGGAGGACAAAAACCAAATGGAGAAGGCCAACAGAAGGAACACAGATAGAGTTGTACCAAACAGCTACATCCATGACGATACTGAAAGCTCAAATAGTGGAAGTCAAGAAAGAGGTGACACAGAACAAAAATAATGGGTCACGACCGGGATTGCCAGTCAAGAGCCTTAGAGAGACAAAGATTCAAAAGAAATGAGCCAAGGGGTAATATTTTTTGTTTGATGACAAATTTATCCAAGACCGCCGATGCAACGAGCAGTCCTCTGGGAAGAGACCGGAAAACAGATCGCTATGATGGAACATCAATTGTAGTATTAGGATAACGGTTTTGTGGAACTCCAAGCTATTCTTTCTATTAGACATATGTTTCATCCATGGATGTGT